TGTGCGCTGGCAGATGGAAACAGGGGCAAGTTCGTTTCTGGTCCCTTCTCATCTTCCTGCTCTTCTTTCTCGCGGTACCGCCTCACCATTAGTGACTCGCATTGGCAGCTACATGTAGCAGCAGGTGCAGCACATGCATTCTGACACCTCCAGCCTGTCTCCTCTGTCGTCGTCGGTGAGCCGAATGGGGAGTTTGTCTGCCAAACGCTATGCTGGGCGGAGCGCGGTTGAGCGTGGCTGCAGGGGGCGGACGGTCTTGGCGATCGGCGACTAGATGCGCCATCATCTATCGCCTGCTGGCCCGAGTCGTGACGGCCAAAGTACTGCAGCACCTCTTGATCAAAGTGCTTATGGCTCGAGTGTTTGCTTCGTCCAACGATTGGAAGAGCCTTGCTGTTCGAATGGTACATGTATGATCGGATGGGTCGTGTATTTCGCTCATTCATCCGCGGGCGCTCAATCTACGGTGCTTTTCCAAGGTAGCAGTGTACAGGGGAGGAAGACGTTTGCTCAATACCCTGACAGCTTCGTCAAATGGCTGGCCCACATGGTTTTCCCGATGGCCCTCGCCTTTCCTCGCTGTCGGCACGACTTGATGCTACCTTGGTTAGGTGCCTGCCATTGAAGATGGATGCGATGTACTGCCCTTGGCTGCAGAGAGTGTCATTGTTCATCCATGCACATGCTACCGAGGACCCTGGGATGCAGAGCGAATGTCGGCAGCAGCCGTGAGCGGAAGCTTGTCATCGTGGTAATTCTACGAGGAATTAATCGACGAACTCGGTAGACTGGTATATCCGTACTACTGACATGTATTTACTCAAGGTACGGGAGGTTCCCTTTGACGTGGAAATCGAGTCGTAACAAACCCGCCCAGGGGCGCTCTGCAAATAGCATGCACCCTGCTGAAAAGACGCCATCAGCCCAGCACTAGCCCAGCACCGGCCCCATCCGGGGTGTCGGTTGCACAACAATCGCGCACTGGTCTGCGGCGGTAGCTGTAGGTTGGCTTGCGCAAAGCAGACTTTACCGCTACGCCAGATGAGATGAGACGAGGGCGCCGAATGCAGCTTAGGCAGGCAGCGAACAGGCGAGTGAGATGGGGTTTTGGGGAGGAGGATCAGGATGGGGGGGGATATTCTCGGGGAGGGCCGCAGAGGCGAAAAGACAGGCAAGCGGCCCTTTCGACCGCCCCCCCCCCCCCCCACC